AATAATTTATTAAATATAATAATAATTTCAATTACAGTAAACTTTTTTAGTATCATTTAAATATTATATTACTTTTACTTAATATTATTATTTATTTGCAAAAAATCCTAAAAAAGGCTAAAAATATATTATTACACAATAAAAGTGGACATCAAAAAAGGGTTCCACAAGTATAAAGGTTTTAGAAACGTTGCTCTATACAATATATACTCAGCAGACCAACCCACCAATCCAAACACTCAAATTGCTGAATATGCCAATGACAAAGCAATCTAGACCACCCACAGTGATYTTGACTAAGTTTCAACACCCCTTAAAAACCATTTGAACAACTTATCACACTAGTACTCCACTGACATGTCAAAATGAAAACAAATCTATACACACTACCTTTGCTTTTCCGCCACAGTCAACCTCTTTCAGTACATATAAACAATATGCCTATCCCAAACTCCGTCACAGCCAAATATCTTGTACTAACCTTTGACAAACGCCTAACATGGGCTAATCACATTTATACAACAAAATTAAAATTAAACCAGCGTCTCTATTCACTCGGAATCCATTCCCGGCAAGTCCTCAAAACCAAAACTCACATCTATAATCTCTTTTTAAAACTCATCTAGCTGTACTATATACAGCTCTGGGGCACTGCCAAAATATCAAATACAAGAAAAATTTTAGTGTTCCAATCAAAAATCCTCAGACTCATAAGTCGTAACTAATGCTCCGCCTTATGTTTCAAATCATACTCTTCACACAGAACTTCACATTCCTAAAGTCACGGAAACAACCAAGTTGTACTACTCCAAATTTATAAATTGTCTTCAAAATCACGCTAACCCTCATGTAAAGATTTACCATCAATCTCCATCCCCGGAAACACTTCCAGAAGACTCAAGATACAACGGCCCTATGTCCTTATAAACTAAATAAATACCTTCACTGGTTGGTTCTTCTCTCAAGTCACTCAAGCCACTGCACTTAAAGTGAACATTCATTATACTTATTTTCCTTTTTTTTTTTTAATATAGATTGTATAAATTCTAGTTAAAAAAAAAAAAGTTCAACTTGGAAAATAATGACTTAACCTTATAATCGTTTTAATTTTTAGGACTTAATTTTATACTTTTAGACTTCGTTAAAATTTTAATTGCTAGGTTAACGGAATTATTAATATTTTATTATTATTATTATTATCCATAGGTAATTGTTAACATTTTGTCAGGAATATTTGCTATACAAATCTAAAACAATAATTTTATTGTATAGATGGTTAAAGATAATAATTTTTAAATATTTTTAAATGTATACATAATACATATCCTAGATTTTTAAACTTAAGAATTGTCAAGTATTCGTCAAGTGTTATCATTGAAGTTTTAAACCAATAATTTTTTATTCTTCAAAATTAGTTTTATATGAATAATCATTTTAAATATGAGTAATAATATGATATTTCTTAAGTATTAGTTATAGATATAATAATTATCTTTAACCTCCCACTGGGCATTCTATTAACTGTAGCAAGAGTACTTCACAACAATTCTAATGATTGTGATAATTGACAGTCGTACATATGCACGATAATGTACTATTATAAACTGAAATTTATGATACAGGGGAAAATTATTATATTTAAATTTTACACATTTAAAAGTTAAAAATATAAGCATATTAACATTAGAGTACTTATAGATATTCCAGCATGTCATTTCCATTGAAGACCTATAACAAATTATTATTTAAATTATTTAATTTATTATTACATATTTACAAAAGTTTATTCACTTTAATCATTATTTTGTAGGGATATACATCATTTTGGAATGATTCAATTTCATCTGGCTTACGTGGATGTATACTTGTTGAACTCGCACTTCGTCAAAGAATTGAATTAGAAAAAGCAGGCATGAGAAGAAAAAGTTTACAAATGAGGAAAGTAATTATAAAAAATGAGACACCTACAGGTGATGTTCTGTTAGATGAAGCTCTGAAACATATCAAAGAGACCAATCCTCCTGAAACAATACAAAGTTGGATTGAATATTTGAGCGGTATGTTATGTTATATAAGTTTTTATAAATAAATCAGCATTTATAACTAGTATAAGAATTTTGATAATACTTTTGATTTTGATTTACAGGTGAAACATGGAATCCTTTGAAAATCAAATATCAACTGAAAAATGTGAGAGAAMGATTAGCAAAAAACTTAGTAGAAAAAGGTGTTCTTACCACTGAAAAACAAAACTTCCTTTTATTTGATATGACTACGCATCCATTAACAGATAATGAAGCTAAAGTTAGGCTAGTTAAAAAGGTAGTTGATTCAGTATTACATTGTTTTTATGTATTTAAAATTTACATAAAAATTGTTGCTAAAATTAATTAATTAATATATTAATTATTAATTTATTATGATTTTTTTCTGTTGTAAAATATTAGGTACAAGATGCTGTATTGTCTCGATGGATTAATGATCCACATAGAATGGATAAACGTCTATTGGCTTTATTATTGTTGGCTCAAGCATCAGATGTACTGGAAAGTGCATTTTCTCCACTAAATGATGAAGATTACGAATTAGCCACTAGAAGATTACGAGAATTATCAGACATGGATTTAGAAGTTGAATCAATGAAAGGTTCTACTAATGACGTAATTTGGGCTGTATTTGCCAATTTCAATAAATAAGTTCATTTAAGAATATTTAAATAGTTAACCAACATTCTTAATACATTTCTGGAGGAGAATATAAATATGTAATAAATAATATTGTTTTATAATCATTTGCCATTTTATGTTTTATTGATTTTCGTAAAAGAATTAAATTTTTATTTAATATGCATTGACTAGGTAAACCTAATGTATTTGCAAAAATGTAAATAATTAGAAAGTCAACAGACTGTTGTACAAAAAATAATAGTTAAGTATCAAATTTCAATGCTTTGTAATATATATGTATTATTTATTTTGTAATATCTAATATTACTTTTGGTCATTATGAGTTAAACTAAAATTGTATGTAATAAATTTATATAATACACTTATAAAAAGACATACTTACATCTTGTAGTTCAGTAATAATACTGATCTCATAGCTACAATTTTAGTGCCATTTTTATTCTTAAATTCGCTATTGTTAAAATATATTTTTTGATTACATTTTTATGTTGAAATTTGAAATCATTTTATTTAATAAATATGAAATATATTATTCCTTTTTTAAAACTACCAATTWGTTAAAAAGTTTTATTATTCATACTTCTCAAAATGTTTAGATTTCAAGTGTTTTTTCATTTATGTATTAGTTACATTTTTTGTGTCACTATTTGTCACAAAATGATTTAAGTATATATCCAATAACCAAGCTCTGATAAAATAATATTTACATAACACATTTACACCATTGAAAATATTTTAAGAATAAGTTTAAAGTTCTAATATTCTGTAATATCATGCACTAACAAATATTTGTTAACTAATTTTACTAATTTTATTTGAACATTACTAAAGATTTCACTGTTTACACCTGATAAACTTTTGTTGTTTTTTCCTCAGTTAAAAAATGCATGTATCCAAGTGTGTGTAAAGTTTCATGTTATAAATTAAATTAATAATGTGTAACATAATTTCAGTGTGGATACTGAGTTTATTTTATGTAAACA